TGTGTAAGAGGATTACTACCTTCCCCCAAATTGCTCAGAGAATGAACAGCCTTATCTGTAAACAGGTGTAAACAGCCTTATCTGCTTTAAACTCCAAGGTTACAGCCTGCTGTTTGAGTTAGCATTGTTTTAATCACCTAGGTGCTCGCCACCTTCTGGATGCAAGGGGTATTTCACCATTTGGAGACCATACAGTACAGCACCGCTCATTTGAACTCACAGAGACTAAGGCAGCATGCACAGGGCCTGCAGGGGTCTGCACCAAGTCCTCTGTGAATAGATTATGGTTTCCAGTTTAATGTTTCTATGGGACTCCTGAGCGTGTGAATGAGTGGGTCTCTGATTCTTGTGCCTTCTCTTAGGCTCTTTTCCCTCTGTTGGTTTGTCTTGTCCAACTCCCATGTGATAGTTTTTTCTCTATCTTATTATATTTTGTTTTGTTACATTTATTGTTGTCTCTTAGAAGCCTGTTCTCTTTTACTGAGAGACAGAAAGGGAGTAGATTCAGATGGGAGGGAAGATGGGGAGAAGTTGGTAGGAGTACAGGGAGGGAAAATAGTAATCAGGATATATTATGTGAGAAAACAACCTATTTTCAATAAAAAGTAAAACAAATAAAAATTTTGTTGGGGAAGAACTTGTCTTTTAAATTTAATGTTTAATTTTGAAACTCATTGGCCACAATCATATTCTTCAGACTAGAAGAGGGAATAATTTAATGTAAACAAAGATGACAAGCTATATACTGGTCCTCAGTAAGGAAAAATTATGAAGTCTAAACACAAATTCAAGGCATACATGAAAATGTCTGTAGAAATATAAAGAAGCCTGCAAAGACAGGCAGAAGAATTACCTTTGGAGAAAGCGAGGGAGCCAAAGTTGGACATCAGCTAAAAAAGAACTTTACATTTTTAAAGGGAGAATGAATGTATAATTTGTATAGTTTAGCACTAATCATAAATGCAAAAATAAAGTGAACTGGGAGCTGGGGATACAGCTCAGCAGTTAAGAGCACCTGCTGCTCTTCCAGAGAATCTGGGTTCAATTCCTGGCACCCACATGGTGGCTTGCAACTGTCTGTAACTCTGGTTCTAGGGAATCTGATGCTCTCCTCTGGCTTCCACAGGCTGCAGGCACACAAGTGGTACAGATACTCATTCAGGTAAAACACCTATACATATAAAATTAAAATAAAAAAATAAAGAAAACTGTTTACAAAGAAAAAGAAAGGAAGCAAACTCCTCTTCCTTTCCCCCATTATATAATCATAATTATTTCTGAGATACAGTAGATAAAGTAAATTCCTACTACAGAACAAGAGTATTGAACCATATAGCCTGTTTTTCTACGTGCTAGTACTTATTCGTTCTCTCTCTCTCCCATCTCTGTCTGCAAAATATATAATCAAGTATTCAGGAAAAGTACAACTTGATCTGTAAAGTGTTTTAAGTTAGCAGAGCTGGATAGCAGAGCTTGTTTCATTTAATTCCATGGCATGAATAATTAAAAATATTAATGCTTGTGACCTACAGGAATGAGGTCCCATGGTAGATATAATGATTCTTTCTAGGGAAGTGAGTTTGGAGTAATTGGCCAGAGGCTATCCCAGGGGAATCTTTCAAGGGCTTTACTAATCCCAGATTGTCATCAATTCATTGTCAGAATTGACATCTATTACTTTTAAGGATTCATATGGCCTAAAGCAGGCAGGCCTGGCCTTAGACTACGAAACCAAGATGTAAGTGGTAATATTAGAGGTTTTAGCTCTTTAGTGGTTTGGAGAGTGTACCTAGGAATGAGACTAACCTTGGTTCCAATTCCCATTGAGCCTCTGACAAATCGTGTGACTCTATGCAAGTGAACAGAATATAAATGGCTTCTTCATCGAGCTGCCAGGAAAGGAAAGAAGGAATCAGAACAAGGTGACTGTGGTTCCACTACATAGCCAGGAATCCAGCCAATGTGGAGGCCTGCTAATATCTTTTTCTGAGTCCCAATTGAATGTCAAGATTGCTTCCTTCGAATCATAAAAAGCCAGATGTCAAGAAGGCTTTTGTGGAGATCTGGGGACCTTTACTGTCATAAGAAATGACTTTAAATCCTTTCACTTGTATTTACTATCTGTTTTTGTTCTTATTAGTGTTGTCTTGAGACAGAGTTTCACTGTGTAGCCCAGAGTGCTGGTTAGTTTTTTTTTTATTAACTTGGTACAAGTTGGGGTCATCTGGGAAGAGGGAACCTCAATAAAGAAAATGTCTGTCCTATTGGCCTGTAGGCAAATCCACGGGGGCATTTTATTGATTACTGATTGAGGCGGGAAGGCCCAGAGCCTACTTGGTTGGTACCACCCCTGAGCAGACGGTGCTGGGTTATATAAAGAGGAAACTGAGCAGGCAGTGGTCCTCCATGGTCACTGCTTCAGTTCCTGCTCAAATGCCTACCTTGGCTTTACTGGATGATGCATTGTTACCTGGAAGTATAAACTAAACAAACCTTTTCCCTCCCAAGGAGCTTTTGGGCATGGTTTTTTATCACAGTAGAAAAGCAAACTGGAACACCTAGTCTGGCCTGGAACTCATTATACAGACAATGCTAGTCTAAACCTTGCACAGTCCTCCTGCCTCTGCCTCCTGTGTGTGCGGAGATTACAGGTGCAAGCCAGTGAGCCCAGCTATTCCACTAACATTCACAAACAGGGAATTATACTTGTCTTAAGTAGGGTTTCATCACTTGCTGTGAGGAAACACCATGGCCAAAGCAAGCTGGGAAGGAAAAAGTTTATTTGGCTTACACTTCCACATCACTGTTCAACTGTTCATCATTGAAGGAAGTCAGGACAGGCACTCAAACAGGGCAGGAACCTGGAGGAAGGAGTTGATGCAGAAGCCACGGAGGAGTGCTGCTCCTCATGGCTTGCCCAGCCTGCTTTTTAATAGAACCCAGGACCACTAGCCGCATGATGGCATCACCCACAAAGGGCAGGGCCCTCCCCCATTAATCACTTATTAAGAAAATACCCTACAGGCTTGCCTACAGCCTGATCTTATGGAGGCATTTTCTGCTATTTATTTATTTATTTATTTTTGGTTTTTCGAGACAGGCTTTCTCTTTGTAGCTTTGGAGCCCGTCTTGGAACTCACTTTGTAGACCAGGCTGGCCTCAAACTCACAGAGATCCACCTGCCTCTGTCTCCCAAGTGCTGGGGTTAAAGGCATGCACCACCACTGCCCAGCTGGCATTTTCTTAATTGAGGTTTCTTCCTCTCAAATGACTTTAGCTTGTGTCAAGTTGACATAAAACTAACCAGTATGTCAAATTGACATAATACTAGATTTGGACTGTGCTAGTTCCTGGAAGTAAAAGAACCGAGAAGGAAGGAAGACCAAGAGAATACATGAAGATGGAAACTAGTGGGAAAGGCATTGGGAGAGTGAGAATCACAGAGGAACTAAAAAGAATAAAGTGAAGATGAGTAAAGAAAAAAAAAGACAAAAGGCAGCTTCCAACATGTGTAAGAAAATCGAGAAAAATGAAATGGAAGCACAATTCTTGAGTGGGCACTGACAAGGCATCTGGATGCTGATCCTGTTTAACCTCCCTCAGCCCACCTTTCCTTGGAGTTTGTGTAAGCATTGCAGCTCGGATTAAAAGGGATCCTGGCAGTCAGGAACCAAGGAATACCACAAAGTCACGTTAAGCTTAAGCGTTGCAGTTTACAGCCCTGCTCCAGGGAAAGGTTTCCCCAAAGGAACAACTCTGCTCCAACAGGGGAGGGTCTCCCCAGCAAAGTTGTTACAGGTTCTGCTCAGGTTCCCCAGAGAGTAACAACTCTGCTCCGCTAGGGGAAGGTTTTCCCAGTGAAAGTGTTACAGTTGTGCTCTGCTCTTCTCCGCTCAGGCTCTAACGAAAAGTTGTTACTTCTCTGCTCCACTGCACTCTGGCAAAAGGTCGTACCCAAATCTCATTCAAGAGCTTTATTGGGAGGAAAGAATCCAGGAGAGCGGCTGCCTCTGTCTGCCAGGGTGGAGAAAGGCAGCCACAAACTGGACAGGCACAGAGATTATGGGGGGCTTTTTAGGGGCGGAATTTTTCCAGGGTGAGGATTTTTCAGGGTGGGAATTAGTCGGATTTCAATCCCCGAGCTTGGACAAGCTCAGAGATTGAATGGATTTCGCGCTCGGGGACTGGTTGGTTTTCATGTTGAGCTGGTCAGGGATAGGGTGTGTTTCTTTCACTGGCTCTGGTTTCAGGGCCAAAGTGTGTTTCTTTGGCTGGCTTTGGTTTCAGGGTGTTTCTTTGGCTGGCCTTTTACCCTACAGTTTGTAGTGTGGGTTAAATCAGAGGATGGATGCTCTGTTAATGAGAAAACCATTCAAAGAAGGGATGAAGAAGGAGAGAGGAAGCTGAGGGAGGAGACTGTCGGGCAGTTTTTTGGCACTTCAAGTGAGAACTGAACGAAACCTCGTAAGGAGGGGCGATGTAAGTCGCTGTGGCTACTGCAGAACCTGCTCCTACTTGCTGAGTGCTGGCAACTTGAAGGGTACAGCGTTTCTCCTGGATAACTTCATGCTATTCTAGCAGCATCTGAGGCTGGACTAATATTATCCTCCTTTTATAGTAGAGGTTTCTGAAGTATAGAGAAGTTTTGTAGTTTTCCTAAAGTCATACAATGGGGAAATGCCCGCACAGGAATTCAAAAACACTTCGTTGACTTGAAAAACCGAGGCGATTAAAATAATTTTTAAGCCTCTTCATAGGCCCTTAAGTGAGTCTAAAGTGAATTCGTGTTCCGGTTAGTCCGCACATTTCCCGGTTACATTTCCAGTTCTTCCAAAAATTCCCTCAGTTGAAGTCCAACAAGCCTGGCTCCAGGGCGTCTTTTCGCTTTCTAGTCAGCTTGAAAACTCCGCCTAGCCAGAGAAAGCGTCCCCGTCTCCAAGGAGACTGGCGGGGGACGGGACTTCCGGCCCCACGCGCACCCACTTCCGCCTCTGGCCGGAAGCGCTGAGGCAAACGGCGTGGGTCTGGCGCTTGGGGACCTGGTGCGTGCGGAGCGGGCCCGTGGCGGCTCCAGGCTTGCGCGGCGATGCTGACCCCCGCGTTCGAGCTGAGCCAGGACCGCGACTTCCTCACGGTCGCCATCCGCGTGCCGCACGCGCGCGTCTCCGAGTTCGACGTGTACTTCGAGGGGGTGGACTTCAAGTTCTACGCCAAGCCGTACTTTCTGAGGCGAGTTCCCGCCGCCGGCGCACCGCGTTTATTCGGGAGCCCGCGCTCGTGATTTAACCCACGCCCCGCGGACACGCTCGCGGGTCTCTCGCTGCTGCCTCGGCCGGCGGCTTCTCCCTGGCGCGCGGTCGGTCGACCTGCGGCGGAATCGCCTCCTTCCGCACCTGCGGGTCTCGGCACGGAGCGCGGGGCCGCCCACCCAGTGTCTGTCCCGTCACCCTCGATCCTCCCTGACCTGTGCTGTTGTTCTTGGGCTGCACGCCCGCGCCTCTCCCTGCGTGGTGACTTCCCCGCGTGGGTCGGTGTTTTGACACACGCCGGCGTGCTTGCCGTGTCCGCCTCCTGGCGGACTGCCCTCTGCCTCCTCCAGTTTTCAGGTTCCCTTCGCATCAGATTAGCCAATTTCTGCCTGGCTGCCGTGAGAGGCGAGCAGTACTGTGCACTTGTCCGTCTGGATTTTTCTGGATTTTTCTCCGTGTTGAACCGAAACAGTAGTGGCAGCTGACACTGGGGGCACCTTCGGTGTGGCAGGAGGCAGCGTCTTAAGGGCTCGCGTGTGTGTCATCTTGATTTTGATAGCCACCCTTTGAGTTAGGCAGTACTGTTGGCCCCCTCAGTGCAGTGGACGCTGAGAGAGTCTTCTTCCTAAACTCGCTAAACGTCAGCTGCCCCCCGCTTTTCAACTGAGCCCTCCAATGCATTCAAACTGGTTTCTTCACTGCTCGTGCGGGAACCACAGTAGATATTAACTAGCATGCTAACTTGAAAAATCCAGTAGATCACACCCCGTGGAAGATATTTCCAAGACTCCTCAATGGGTATCTGACACCGTGGATAGTAATGAACCCTGTATAAACTGTTTTCCCTATACCTACAAACCTTAGATGTCGATTTATTTACAAATTAAGTTAAAGCAGTACAAACATAACTGCATTTGATAACTAAGGTTTATTGTGAGCCCCTGACCCCCCCCCAAATCTGGTTATGGTAGCTATTCAAATGAAAAACTATTCCAATGCAGCATCTTTGATTTTTACTCTCTTAGTTGAAGAAGGAATCTAAGTTATTTAGCTTGTAAAATGTGAAAGAAGTGCTGAAAAATTGCCATTCAAATGGTTGGTAGATTTTGATGGCTACAGATATACTGTGATTGGTGATCACTGACCTTGTGTTAAATCTGCAGATTAACACTTCCCGGAAGGATTGTAGAAAATGGAGGTGAGCAGGGGTCCTATGATGCAGATAAAGGTATGGCCTTTGGGGTTTGGATTCATTTTTCTGTATTTTATGTGTGTGTATGCTCTTGTTGCTAAAATTCCTTCCCTGAGAGAGACATTCTACCTCTGCTAAGGTCTCATTGACAAACAGGTGTGATGCCACCCAAGTTCCCTGGGGGGAAGCATTGAGTTTATTAGGTTTACAGAGTAGTGGGTGAGGGGTTATGGCAGGAGCAGAGTAGTCACAGTAGAAGGTCTGCATTGCTTCTCCAGGGCTGCATAGATGGAACTCCCTCCCTTCATCCTATTACTCTAGCCTCTCCTCCAAGACCACATGTACTTGGGATAATTGTATTTATCATACACTGGTTGTGGGTGTGTGTGTGTGTGGTGGCAGCTGGATACTCAGGTGAGGGTCCCATGACCCCCTCTTGCCCCTCCTCCTGTGAGGGCAGGTAAAATAGTCCACAGGCTCAGCTGGCCCTCCAGAGCTGAAGTTTGACTCGAGAATAGAACTTTACTGATAGCATATGTAGATGTAGGTGGGTGTGTTGGGAGGGCATATGTCGATGTAGGTGGGTGTGTTGGGAGGGGCTTGTATATGTGTGGGGGTTCATGTGTGTGGATGTGCAAATGGAAGCCAAAGGACAACCTCTGATGTCATCCCGAGGAGTGCTTTTGAGACAGGCTTTCTCACTTGCTGCTTATGGGTTAGGCTGGACAGGCTGGGCAGGGAGCCCATGAATACTCTTGTCTCTGTCTCCCCAGCTCTAGGATGACAGACATGCTCCATTGCACTGATGTTTTTATGTGGGTTCTGGGGATCAAACTCAGGTCCTCCTGCTGGTATGGCAAGTTGTTGCTGACTGAGACACAGGCCCAGTCTTGGTTAGGGTTTTGTGGATTCCTCATGTTACAGTAGCCACAGAGTAGTAGTCCTTAAAGATACCAAGGGGCCTTTTAGATGTCTAGCTACACACGCTACATAATTCTTTCTTCAAGGTTTAGTGCCTGTTATCTGGATTTGGGGCAGTTAGCAATTTCCTGTCTTTTAAAGTATTTTTCGGTATTCTTTAAATTTGAATCAAATGTTCTAGTTTCGTTTTTCTGAAACTGTTTCTATGTTTAGCACATGCGTGAAAGTAAACATCAACATGAAATGATTGATTTTAAAATAGGGATGATTTAGGAGTTTTTGAATGGAATTTTTCCTTTACAGTTCTCAAACTTGAATTTTTTTTTTTTTGGTTTTTCGAGACAGGGTTTCTCTGTGTAGCTTTGCGCCTTTTCCTGGAACTCACTTGGTAGCCCAGGCTGGCCTCGAACTCACAGAGATCCGCCTGGCTCTGCCTCCCGAGTGCTGGGATTAAAGGCGTGCGCCACCACTGCCCAGCATCAAACTTGAATTTTAATAACAGGTAGATGGGAAATTATCCATGGAAGAATTTAAAGAGAAATTGAATTTTCTTTCATGATGGACTAGTCCCCATTTTAGCTAGCCACAAACTCGTTTATTTTACTCTTCACCTAGCTATTGTCTTTTCCTTTGTCACTGGGTTTGGAGAAAGAGTAACTTATGGGGCCAGCAAGGTAGCTCAGTGGTTAAAGGCGCTAACCTACCATTGTGAGTCTGGTTCCCAGAACCCATGTAATGGTAAAGGAGAAAACTGACTGCACAAAGCTGTGCTCTGACTACACACATACACCATAGCACACCCCCATACACACACATGCACGTACAATAATAATGACTTTTTTTAATTTGAAAAGGCTAGCTTGTGTACAGTTGTGTACTTTATTCAGTAATTATTGACCAGTGAACTAGGGTGAAGGAGGGGAAATGAGACTAAAGAAACTTATGATCAAATTCTCACTAATAATGCAGTATATCTGATGTGATCAGTATAAGGGAGCTGCCATCCTAGCTTGTGGATGTACATTTAATAAGTTGCATATAATAATGGAGTTATTAAACTTTATTGCTGGAGAGAGAGCTCAGCTGTTAAGTACATATATTGCTTTTGCAGAGGACCTGAGTTTCTGGTTTTACAGAAGCTTATAATTACCTGGAACTCCAGCTCTAGGAAATCTGACACCCTCTTGTAGCTTTCATACTTTGTACTCACTTGTATATATTTAAGAAACAAACTTTAAAACATAAAACAAAACTGTAAAGTTCTTAGAGTTGAGGAGTTGTATATGTGTGGCTTTTTGGGTTGAGTTGCATGTGATATATTAGATTGCATGTCAGTATGCTGAAAGAGGTAAAATGTTTAAAACAGTAGGCTGAACACACTTGTAATCCTGGTGCCTAGGAACCTAAGGTAGGAACATAATTTCATGTGAGTTTGAGGCTAGCCAGGACTACATAGCAAGGCTGTCTCAAAGAAAAAAAAATCTCTTGTGTTAATAAAGAAATTATTAAACTGTAATTGCTTTAGTGTATGTAGTTTGAAAGCTACTGCTATTCTTTGGATTAGCTAATCTAATTTGCCTCCTAGTCCAGAAATATATTTTATAAGTAACTGTTAGTGCTGTTGCCTCCTTGGGCCACTGATTTTAGAAACTCTTTGAGTTTTGGTATTTTGACTGGGTTAAGATGGTATGGTAATGCTAAAGCTTCTGTAGTTTGGACACATTGACTTCTAATTGTAGTGACAGCTTTGGAAAAGACCTTTTTAAGACTTTTTTTTTTAACCTTGACTTATAATCACCAAATCTATAATAAGGGCCAACTTTTGGAACCCCATGAGGAAATACATTTTTTTAAATAGTTCAGTTAAAAATGCTTTATTGGTGTATATTCATTGCAGAAGATATTAAGTTTCATGAAAATAATTTCTTCCAAGTATATCATATATTTAGAACATACTCACTACCCCAAACTTTTCCTTTCTCCCTTCTCCCTCTTTTCTTCTCCTGTGAGTGTCCTTGGCCCTAGTTCCCTATGCTTTCATGTCTCATATACAGGACATACCCATACACACACACACACACACACACACACACACACACACACACACACACAGAGATATATCATATCATATATTGTATATCATATCAGTCTATCTATGTCTGTCTGTCTATCTATCTATCTATCTATCTATCTATCTATTTATCTATCTATCTATCTATCTATCTATCTGTTCATGCATCCATAAAAAGACTTCAGTCCACAAAGGAGGAAAAGCCTATTTGTCCTTCTGAGTCTGGCTTGTGTGGCTTAATATGATTTCCAGTTACACCCATTTTCTTGTAAATGGCATCATTTCATTCTTTTTTATGGCTGAATAAAAAGTCCATTGTGTAGATACACATTTTCTTTATTATCTTTGATGGGCACCTAGACTGAGTCTATAACTGGGCTGTGGTGAATGTGCTGCAGGAAATTTAGACGTGCAAGTGTCTCAGTGGTGTGATGACTTGGACTCCTCAGGGTATATACCCAGGAGTGGTAGCTGGATCGTATGGTAATTCTACTCTTAGTATTCTGGGGACATCCTTCCTGATTTCTCAGGTGGTAAGATTAGTTTCTGCTCCCACCAGCAGGGTATAAGGGATCACTCATCTCTGCATCTTTTCTATCCTTTGTTGTGTTTCTTTGTGAGAGCCATTCTGACTGAGCCAAGATGGAATCTCAGTGTACTTTTGATTTGCATTTCCTTGTTAGCTAAGGATGCAGTTTTATGTGTTTATTTGCCATTTGGTTTGGTGGGTTTCTTTCTTTCTTTCTTTTTTTTTTTTGTCTATTTCTTTGTGTGAATATGTATGTTAGGTGTGGTTTGTACTGTGGAGTATTACTTATAACTATGTAAAGATGTGTTACATTTGCTTATGTGTGGAATATTTAACTATGTAAAGATACACCATTTGTTTATGCTGCATTTGTTTAATTATATAAAGATATGTTGCTGTTTTATATTGCCTGCCTAAGGCACCTGATTGGTCTAATAAAAAGCGGAATGGCCAATAGCTAGGCAGTAGAGGAATAGGCAGGGCTGGCCAGCAGAGAGAATAACTAGGAGGAGGAATCTAGGCTGGAGAGAACGCCTGCCACAGGCTTATATCTGTATGTGTTCGTGAGTGTATATGCATGTGGGTATAGACCAGAGGTTGACTTAGGGTGTCTTCCTCCATTACAGTCCACCTAATTTTTGAGACAAGGTCTTTCACTGAGCCTGGAGCTTGCTGTTTCAGCTTGGCCAGCAAACTCCAGGGTTCCTACTGTGTCCACTTCTCTAGCACTGGGATTATAGGTATTTGATGTGTTCGGTTTATTGTATATGTGCCAGATATTCAAACTTAGATCCTTATGATTGTGTGAGAAACACTACCAACTGGGCCATTTTTCCAGCCTGAGTGTTTTGAGTTCTTTATATGTTCTGGATATTAATTCTCTTCAGATGTATAGTTAACAAAGGTTTTTTTCCTCATAGAATTATATATTACTCATACTTGCATTTCTCTTATATATACTTATGAAGTCTTTGAGTATTTTAATCTGTCTAAATATAAAACCATTTCTTTTAAAGGAATTTTTACCATTCGATTGCCCAAGGAAACTCCTGGCCAGCATTTTGAGGGGCTGAACATGTTAACTGCTCTTCTGGCCCCAAGAAAATCCAGGTCTGCCAAACCACTTGTGGAAGAAATAGGTATGTTTACCGTAGTTGGAGATAAGTAGGAATGTTTGTAATATTTTGTGTTTCTAGGGCAAGAGACTTGGGGCTAGAAAATTAGATGTAAAAAGTTCAAGAGAAGAAAAGGAAAAGGAAGGTTCAGGTTAATGTGAAATAGCTTACTTGATATCACAGTTAGAAGTCATAGCTGGTAGTGGACCAGCAGACCACTCACATTTTTTTTTATCAATTAAAACTTGGAAACATTGTCTTATCAGAAGTGTATAGTTGAAAACATTACACAATACAAATACCTGCTAGGTCACAAACTGTAGTGTTTATTTATTTCCAATATCCCAGGAATCTCACCCATGCTCTTCCCAGGTACTGTGTCCTGTTCTTTCCCAGACCACCAGTACCCTCCCTTTGCCTGATTATGAGTTGCATACATAATTGTTCCATAGAGTGTGTTCCTTTTCATCTGGCTTCTTACACTCAATATTCTTTATGAGGTGTATCTATGTTACAGCAGAGGTCCATATATATATATATATATATATATATATATATATATATATACACATCTTCATCACTGTATGATAGATGGTTTGGTGAGTTTATACCTCCTACTGTTGGTGAACCTTTGGGCTGGTTCTACTTTTTGGCCATCATGAGCAGTGGAGCTGTGAATATTCTTGTCTATGCCTTTGGTGCATAATGGTAGGCCTTTTCCCTGTAGCAACTTCTTCCTCTCATTGTACCCAGAGACCTCGCTCGGTATTTTAAGGAAAAAATTAATGTTTAACACATTTAGGTGCTTCTGGTGTTTCTGAGGAAGGAGCTGACGATGAGGATTCAGATTTTGACTGGGAAATTGAGCAGACTCCCTATGAAGAGGTCTCAGAAAGTGCTCTGCAATCACAGTGTCACTATGGATTTGGAAACCTGCGGGCCGGTGTGGTTCAGCGGTTACAGGTATGCTGTCCTTCTGGAAGACTGTGGCACACAGGGTGTTTCAACTTCATTTCTGCTTACCTGGGGCGTTTTTAAGGTAACGTAGTGCCTGTAGCAAGCAGGGTCATACAGCTGTCCATTCTTCCCTGTCCAGCCTGCTGCTGTCCTTAGGGTTCTAATGGGAACAATCTAGAACAAATACAAACAACCTCTCTCCTGGTGCTTCTGGACAACCTTAAAGAAGCATGATACTTCTAAGGGATGTGCTCAGTACTAGGGTGACAGAATTTTCTGATGAGGATGAACCTAGGAGCTTTTCGTTTAGTTTCGCTTGTTCTGATTTTAAACTTGGGGACAGACAGACAGACAGATGAGATATAGCTCAGGTTGTCTTTGAGCTTGTGATCCCTCTGCTTCAGCCTCTCCTGGGATTACAGGTATGTGCCTCCTCTAGATTGTGTTGGATAAAATTGTTCAGTTCTTGTTGCATAGTAGATAGTGTATTCTGCTTATTCTTGGTGGAGGTCAAATGTAAACTCTCACTTTAGTGCTGCTTAGGAAGTTTTGGGTTTTGCAGTGTTTTGAATCTCAGATTTTCCCATGAGTGGTACTCAAATAGTAAAGGTGTATCTGAGTTTCAAGAAAAAGCCAAGACTATTCATTCTGGTTGTACTTCTGTCTCCATTTATATTGGGAATACTGTGATGATCACTGACCGCATGTAAATTGTTCTCTCTTGGTAAAATGGGAATTTTGCTAACCTATTCTGTAAATTTATTGTGAAAGTGTCATGAGATACTGCAAACATACGAGAAAATTCTGTAAAGTGTTGGACACTATAAAAACTCCTGCCCTTAAAACACTGAAGTTACTCTCAAGATTCCCACAAGAGAACAAAATTGGCATTTGCTCAGCAGCAAATAACCCAAAGGACCATGTCCGTGTGAACAGTTGGGCACTTTTCTGCAGCGTATGGTGAGCCCTCTGCCGCTCCTGTCCCTTGTTTCTCTGGTGATCTCTGAGGTACTTAGAATACAGTCAGCTTCACTCAGCTGTGATGAAAACCAAAGTGAGTGGGCCTCAGTTGTTTGGCCAACAGCTAATTTGTGATCATTTTATTTGGGGTTAGCCTGTCCAGAGCTATGAATGAAGTCTAGTAAATGTCATACAGGCTAAGTCCAGAATCTCCATTCAGGTTGAAAGTGCCCTTGTCCAGATTGCTAGTAGGGAAGATCCCTTTGAGGGCTTTGCTTACTTGTTTTGGTGTTTGGAGACAGTCTCACTATGTAGCTGGCCTTGAACTCGGTATCTTCCTGCCTCAGCTTCCCAAACATACTAAGTGTGACCACTTTGAAGGGTTTCTTTTTACTTAGAGGATACTTGAAGACCATAGTTTGGGTGAGGCCAAGTCCCTTTTAGGTCACAAGTTTTTGTGTTTTTTGAAAAGCTTCCCAAAGTTATTTAGGTTGCTTTTAAGCAAACATTGTTATGAAATACTCTTTGTTTTTTGATACAAGGTCTTATGTATCCTAGGCTGTCCTGGAGCTCAGCAAGTAGCTAAGGCTGGCCTTGAACTCCTGATTCTCCTGCCTCCCCTTTTCAAGTCTTGGGAGCACAAACATATACTAGGACACCTAGATTTTATTGTAAAAAGTGGTGCTTTGAAACATAAAAGTTATACATACTCTTGGGAATAACATGGTATTTCAGGACTTGTATGTAGGTAGTACTCTGTCTGTATGGTGTGACTAAAGCATGAGATACCTATATACTTGCCACTCAGGATAGGAAAGGAAGTATTAGTGTAGTTAGGATGCCCTGTCCATCCCTTTATGATTATATCTTCTTTCTCTTTCTCAGTCAGGAATGCTGAGTTTGTTTATTTAGTTTTACTATCTAAATTACTAAACTCTTTTTCAAACTTTAATAGCATGAACATTGTTTTCCTGAAAACTTGTGCTCCCGTTCCCCCAGTTTCGAAAAAGCACAGTACTGGAGCGAGTGGACTCCAAGGGTTTTATCATGTAAGTAGTACACTGCTAGCAGGAGAGGCTTGCACCCCATGCACAGAACACTGGAATCCCAGACACTCTCAGAACTTCCAGTCTCCACATATGTTTAATTTGGCACCAAAACCTTATCTGAAACAATATAGTTTTTGTTCTAGTTTTTCTTTCCTTTTTTTTTTTTTTTTTTTTTGAGACAAGTTCTCACTTTATAAAGCCCAGGCTGGCCTGGAGTCAGTATGTAAATCAGGCTGGCCTTGAACTTTTGGTAATCTTTCTGTCTCAGCGTCTTCAGTAGTGAGATGACAGGAGTGAGTGACCACACACGGCTGGTTCTCCCAATATGTTTTAAATTACTTAATTAAAAATTATTTTATTATTATGTTTGTGTATGTGTATATGACTCATGCATGTGAATGCAGGTGCATTTGTAGTCTAGCATGCACATGGAGCTCAGAGGATAGTTTTTGGGATTCATTTTTCTCCTTGTACCATGGGTTCTGAGGATCAAACTCAGGTCATCAGGCTAGCACAGTTCCTGTTGCAGTGATAAAATATCTCAACCAAAGGCAGCTTAGGAAAGAAAGAGTTTATTTGGACTTAGGGTTCTAGAGGGAGGGTCCCTTATAGTCTAGGGGAGGGCATGGCATAGTGGCAAGAACAGGAGGCAGGTTATTCCATTTTCTTCCACACAGGAAGCAGAGAGGGAACTAGGAGTGGGAAGAAGCTATACACTTTCTCAGTGGTTCCTCTTATACGGCTCCACATCCTTAAAGACCCATCACCTGTCCAAACAGAGCTCCAGCAGGTGACCAAGTGTTCACATGTCTGAGCCTATGGGTGACCTTTGCCACTCAAACCACCACACATGGCAAGTGCTCTGACCAACGGAGCCATCTCTCCAGCCCCCAGTATGTTTTTAAAGGTGTTTTAAACTACATACTTAGTGTGTGTCTTAATTACTATGTAGAAGTAGTAATGTGCTTGGATAGAGAGTGCTCCTGCAGCCTTCTAACACACACTGTTAAACATGGTGAGTGTTCTTGAATACCTTTGCAATCCAGAGAGAGTCTGAAACCTGAAGCCACCAAGTTGGCATTTATATGGATCTGTTCTGAGCACTGTTCTTGCGTCAGCCCAACAATACTGGTTCCTCAAGGTGTCTTTACTGTTATGTCTACACTTTCCAGTAAAAAGCTTTAAAGAAATGGGATTTCTTACACAAATTAAATTTGAGGGCTATGGTGTTCTTCATAACATTAGGAATTAATCAGATTTTCGAGAATCCTAGTAAGGTCGGTATGTTTTATCGGGTGTGTTTACAACTGCTCTGTTCGTGATGGTCCCATCAAGTGGCTAAAAATGACCATGTATTGCCCTTTGTCTTTAGTGAGGGAGCTAGAGATGCTCCTAGAAAAGGTTATCACACAGTAAGAGGATTCAGAACATTTATCTCATAATACGACTTAAAAAATGACTTTTCTAATCCTGTTTTCTCACAATTTTAGTTTCTCTAGTTTCTGTCTTTGAATCAAGACACAGCCAAAACATTTGTCAACTACTTGTATATTGCCAGTATTTCCCTATTCTTTTAAATGAAAATAGTTGTGTTTTTTCTGATAATAAAAGCAATGTACTCATTTAAAAATGTAATACAAAGAAAAAAGTAACGTCTTCAGTGAATAATTTAACCCTTTACAAGAATAATCCTGTCTCCCTTTAAATGGGTTTGCAAACTTCTGTATTTTATCTGATAATGAAAATATTATTGCTGAAGCAAATTCCCTTTCACCAACCCTTCCCACCCCTGTTTCCCATGTACATACACACACACACACACACACACACACACACCCGATTTCTTGCCTTTTTTGAAATCTCTGCCAGCCACCTTGGAAAACTGCCCTGGCTGCTCAGAGTCAGGGCTGCACAACAAGCTGTTGGCACTGGTGGCTGCCAGCAGCCGCAGTCCTGGAGTCTCTGGGCACCATCCCAGCCAGCTGTCTCCTGAGACAGCCTTCATTGCAGGATGCCAGGCCTTCTGGCCCTTGCTTTCCTTTGGCTGCTTCAGGGACCTGAGGCCTTTGTCTCCAGGAGACGCACTGGCCAGATGCACACACAGTTCATTTTCTTTCCGGCTTGGGTCCTGTTTGATCTGTGATTTAAGTGCACACAAGCCTGGCTTAAGTCCTCCATGACCTTTTCCTGGCAGTGTTCATCTTCAGATCACTCGGGACTAGTGACCACAGCAATTCTAAAACAGAGAAAAAGGAATTCTTTTCTTCCTGCTGAAGTTAATTCTCTGTTCTTCCTTTCCTTGGGTTGATTGGTGCCTCAGACTTTTTCTTCTTTTGTAGTACTGAGAAGTGAATCCAGGACCACATACATGCTAAGCAAGTGCTCTACCACCAAGCAGCACCTCCAGCCATACCTTCCTTTTAGATTCCAGTCTGATTTTGTGTATTAGCTTTTCATTGTTCTTACTACAGTACCTTGTAGGAGCAATCTAAGTGAGGAAAGATTTTGCTTCATGTTTTCTTTCCATCATGATAGGGAAGGCATGCCAGATGAGCATATTCATGGTGATGATAACATGTGGCAGAGGCTGCTCACATCTCAGAGGACCAGGAGGCCGAGTAAGACAGGAAGTAGATGGGGATAATAACCCGGAAGGACTTGCCTCCAGTGACCTACTTCTCCCAGCTAAGCCACACCTCCTAAAGGTTGTACAGCCCCCAACAAAGTGTGCTACTCTATGGGGAACAAATACTGTGCAGAGCATGTGAAGGACCTTTCACATTCAAAAACTTACCTCTGCTTTTTAGTTTGCTTTAGTTTCTTTCTTTCTTTCTTTCTTTCTTTTTTTTTTTTTTTTGCTTTTCGAAAGGGTTTCTTTGTATAGCACTGGTTGTTCTGAAACTCGCTTTGTAAACGAGACTGGCCTCAAACTTATAGACATCCACCTGCCTCTGCCTCCCAAGTGCTGGGATTAAAGGCGTGCGCCACCATAACCAGCTGCTTTAGTTTCTTATTAGGGTTCAATTTGAGCAAGGCCCTGCTATGTATGTGCATAGAACAATGCAGGTGGGGTTTGCCCAGCTGGGAGCAGGCATGTGGTGTGGTCTCTTTGCTGCATTGCTCTGGTGGCCTTGAATCAGTATACTAGCGGGGAGCAGCGGTGGGGCTGAAAGCGTTACTTTCTTATTCTCCAGTTCAGCCCGTGAGGTTGGGGACCATCTGTGTGCTCATTACTGGATCTCTATTCCAGCAACCAGACCAGTCTACAGCCTCTGTGCACTATGTACTCAGTAGTGATTTCTTTCTGACTGCTAGGCACACTGTTCTAGTTAGGGTTACTATTGCTGTGATGAAACAGTATCACCAAAAGTAAGTTGGGGAGGAAAGGGTTTATTTGGCTTACACTTCCACATCTTAGTCCATCATTGAAGGAAGTTGAGACAGAAACTCAAACAGGGCAGGAACCTAGAGGCCGGAGCTGATGCAGAGGCCATGGAGGGGTGGGGTGCTGCTTCCTGGCTTGCTCCTCATGGCTTCTCAGCCTGCTTTCTTATAGAATCCAGGACCATCAGCCCAGAGATGGCACCACCCACAAAGAGCTAGGCCCTTCCCCTAAGGGAAATAAGAACATGTCCTACAGACTTACCTACAGCCTGATCTTATGGAGGCATTTTCTCAACTGAGGCTCCATTTTCTCTGATAACTATAGTTTATGTTAGCTGGGCAGTAGTGGTACATACCTTTAATCCCAGCACTCAGGCATCAGAGACAGGCAGATCTCTGAGTTTGAGATCTACAGAGTGGGTTCCAGGACAGCCAAGGCTACACAGAGAAACCGTCTTGAAAACCAAAAAAAAAAAAAAAAAAACCAAAACCAAAACAACCAAACAAGAACAAAACTATTGTGTTAAGCTGACATAAAATTAGCCACACTACACACTGAGAATGCTGTGAAAATGAAAGTAGACTAGACCCCTCCCTGCATTGAAACAGTCTATGGAGAAGACAGACAGTCATCATGTAGACAACTAATAAGTTAATGGCGATAGTAGCAGGTGGAGGAAAACCGTGGTATGTGAGACTGGGGACTGTTGTGACTAGGATGCCCAGAGGTGGCCCCTTGAAGGATAGGACATGCATGGGGTTATAATGAGAAGGACACTGTAGATGTAGCGGGTCAGAGTGGAGACAGATGTGTATGTTCCAGAAATGAAAAGTCTAGTATGTGGCTCTAGTAGAGACTCAGGCCAGAGGGAAAGGCTGGCATTGGTTTGAAAGGCAAGATGGGCTTGATGATGTAGAGCTAGGAGTCGAGGTTCCAAGGTTCCATTTATCTGCTGAAACACCGTTTTCTGTCCTCACAGATTACAGCCCATTCGTGACCTTAAGTCTGTCCAGGTGCAATAATTAGTTGTTCTGCTGCCCTCCCCCCACTTTAATTGCTGTTATCAAGTATAGAACCTGAAGTGGAAGGAGGATTTGTGTTTCCAGTAGGAAGCCAGTGAGTAACAGGGAACAGCCATGGAATGGAGACAGAGAGAAAAGTGAATCTGACATTAGTGAGTGTATTTAGGCCTGTATTATATTAATACTAACAACAGCATGTGTCTCCGAATGCCACCCCTTTCCCCAAGAAGAACAAAAAGAGGTCATGTGATTACCTGTCCTGTGAAGATTTTACATTACATGGCAGAAGAACTCTGCAACTGTGATTAAGGACGATACCGACATGGATTTTGTATGTGGCCGACTCTAATCACAGAGGGAGGAGATAAGGCCGTGGGATGAGAGGAGCCGAGGGAGGATGTCATCGTGCTGTGGATTTGCAGTCCAAGGGAAAGCAGTGGTGCCCACAGAAGGATCCGACCCAGGCAAGCCCTGTGGATTCATTGTACTGCCTGCCCTCCCGAGGCCCTTGTCTACATGTGCCCTGTAGACCTGAGGCTGGAGTCAGGAATTCCAGTGAGGAAATTGAGGGGAGGAGGAAGAACCGATGCTGTATTTCTGGGGAGGAGATGTTCTGGTGGATTCAACTCCAGAGACTGCACGTTTTTCCCATGGAAACTCTGCTGTGTGCTTGTTAAGTTCTTTGCATCATGAATGTTCTGTTTCAATTTATTATGAATTGCATAAACTTGAGGACTGCCCTGAGCCTCTTAACTACTATTTATGATAGGATTCCTGTAGGAAAATGCATTCCAAGTCTCCAAAAAGTAAATTGCAAAGGAACTTTGGAATGTAAATTTTATGTTTGTGGACAGCCATTAGTCTGGTTGTTGCCTCAAATGTTTGTATTTGAAAGTATGAAGATATTCTAGTTGATCCAGTCGCTTCCAAAAAGGTCACTGGATCCCTTCGTTATATTTGAATGTACTTAGGTTAAGAGCTCCACGCCTTATGGTAAGAAAGAAGGAGTTTATTTTCCTTTTAAACTTTAGATGCTTATTTATTTTGTGTGAGTGTGTGTGCTTGTTTACATGCCATGCTTTACAGGCAGAGGTCAGAGATGAGCTTTTGGGGCAGTTCTCTCCTCCACCACGAGGGGCTTGGGGGTTGAACTCAATCAAATTACCCACTCAGCCATTTCTCTGGCCCAAGAATTTTTTTTTTTTAATTTGGAAATTATGGTTATGTAGGGAGGGAGACTGGGTCCTTATGACTCCCCATAACTTACTATAGCTTACTTTAGTTTTAGTCATCTTGTATTCTGACCATCAACTTTAAAGTGCTCTCCTATGAGTGTTTCTTTTCTTTTCTTTCTTTTTTTAATGACATAAGAAGTGAAGGGACTTGCTCAAGGTCCTAGGACTACTGACTTCAAAAGCAACCCTCCTTTGTCACTCTGTTTTCTTTTCGTGTATGTGTTCCACTTACAAATCTTCCGGAACAGTTGGTGTGCACAGCTTTCCAGGTTACTGCCTGATTTCTTCCCGATTACATCCTTCTGTTTCACCCAGTTCTGTACTTGCACCTAGAGTTGATAGCAGATGTGGAAGCAGACAGAAGAAAGCCACAGCTGGGGGCGAATGTTTTGGATTGGAAGAGGTTTCTTCACTTCACAATTCCTGTGTATGTCTGTTCTGTAGAATTCTGCTTGGAAAACGTGCTACATGTTCATATATGCACATCTTGCTTAAGATAGGTGGTGATTCTTAGAATTAGATTTTAAAGTTTCAAGTGAAAAATCAAAGACATCGGAATTACTCATAAAAATTCTTTAATTTTTTTTTTTATTAATGTGTGCCTGTGGGAATGGAGGTCAGAGGAAAGCTTCATGGAGTTGGTCTTCTTCATCTATCTCTGTGTAGTTTCCAGGAATTGAACTCAGGTCATCAAGTCTGCACAGCAAGTGTATTTACAAAGTAGACTGGGATTTCGTTCCTTGAGCTAGACAGTAGGAAGAAAGAAGCCAAGTCTCTCTGTAGATGTTGGATACTCAGACCTTCCTGTCTTCAGGAATTTTCAGATCTCCGCGGCTAAAAAGGAAAATGAATGGAGAATTAAATGTTCCTGTATGTTTGTAAGGGTTTATTCAATTCTGCTTTTTGTGTTAAACATTTTAAATAAGTAAATGTGTGTGTGTGTGTGTGTGTGTGTGTGTGAACACACGCACACATGTGCACACATGCACCTGCCACAATATGGTGGGAGCTGTATGCTACAGGATGTGTATGGAATCATGATGACAACTTCTTGGAGTTTTTCTACTTTATAGGTTCTAGGGATGAGGTGATCAGGCTTGGTGACAAGCCCCATGATCCTTTGTGTTAAATGTTAATAGCCTTGATATATGCTGGTTAGTTTGTTTTATGGGTTAAAATGGGTTGATTTATATGGAAGTGTCTAGCAGAGTCTATAGAATAGTAGATTCAAATAATTATAGCTTTTTGTTTGTTTGATTGATTTTGCTTTTTGTATTTTGAGACAAGGTCTCATTGTGTAGCTCTGACTGGTGGGACTTGGCTATGTAGACCAGACTGGCCTTGAACTCAGAGAGATCTGCCCACCTCTGCCTCCCAAGGGCTGAGAGCAAAGGCTTGCACCATACCTGTTTGTTAGATCTGAATTTAAATATTACAAGCTGTTTCATACTCTAGTGATCAGGCAGATTCCTCCATGTTTTGGGGTTCCTTCTCCCTTCCCCCAATTTGATTTATATATATACATACATACTTGGTTTTATGAAGCAGAGTTTCTCTGTAACAGCCCTGGCTGTTCTAGAACTCTCTTTGTAAGCCAGCTGGCTTTGAACTCATAGAGATCCACTTGCCTCTACCTCCCAAGTGCTAGGATTATAGGTGTGCTCCACCATGCCCAGCTTATTTTACTTATTTTTATGTGTATTGGTGTTTTGCCTGCGTGTGTTTCAGTGTAAGGGTACCAGATCCCCTGGAACTGGAGATACAGACAGTTGTGGGTGCTGGGAATTGAACCTGGGTCCTCTGGAAGAGCAGCCACTGCTCTTAACCACTGAGCCATCTCTCCAACCCCCCCCCCCCCCCCCATTTGATTTTTAATTGCTAAAGATTGGAGATAGTGTTCATTCTTGTTCTGGTGTTTTTAGGATGAACTGAGTGAAGTTATTGATATTAAGGATCCAGATTTCACTCCTCTGACTGAACGAAGGCAGAAACGCCTGGCTGCTGAGCTGGCCAAATTTGACCCGGATCATTATCTGTGAGTATTATTAACTTCTGTGGCAGTTAAATAGCTATTTAACACTTCCTTAGTTGTTTTTTTCCCCCAGAATCTTGGAGTATATACATGTGTTTGTGTAGTTATGTGTCCGTGTGTACATAGAGGCCAAACCTTGACAATGGGTGACTTCTTCAGTCACTCTGCTTTATTTCCAGGGACAAGGTCTCTCACTGAATACAGAGCTCACCCATTCAGCTAGGCTGGCTCATCAGGCCTTGCCAGTGAGCTCCAAGAATCCACCTATCTGTCTTCTCTGTGCTGAACTAGAGTGCTGGGAGGGTGCTGGGGCCCCGAACTTGGGTCCTTGTATTGGCATAGCAAGCACTCTACTGAGTGAGCCATCTCTCAGCCCCTCAGGGTCCTCGACACATGTGTTTTAGATCCTGGAGTTAGTGCAGGCACTAACCCTCATTCACATTCCCCTAACCTGTAATGGCTGTACCTGTGTGGCCTTTGTAAACTTGCTACTTAGTTTATACTAGCAATGGAGAACTCTTAATACTCTTTAGCAGTTTCCTCACCAGACTTCAAAACATCAAAGTCGGAGAGTGTTTGTTTGTACTTCTTTTAGTAGAGTTTTTGTCATGGTTATTTGTGCATGTGAATGAATATGTCTTGATTTCCACAAGAGCCCAGGTCTACACGTGCTATATTTCCTGCTAGTCTGGGATCTTCCCAGGACATTTATCAGCAGTGAATAGTTACTCTCCGGTAGAGCATCGTTAGAACCTAATCTTAGTTGTGCTGTATTTTCCACTTGCATCTGTTGCAACCTTTGCTGTAATCAGAACTATATTTGCAGAAGTAACTTATCAAAGCAGAGATGTGCTGTCTCTTCCTGGCCAAGATAGCAGCACTTTTTTGCATTTCCACTGGACATCTGAATGCCTCTTCCAGGGTATGTGGAGAATGAGTGTAATTTATTTGTTGATGTAGCTCTCATTTATTATTTTTCCCAGGCCCTGGGCCAGTGATTTCAAAACTGTTACCCATATAACTATAATCACTGCTTCCCAATACATTTGTACAATGTTTTCGGCTTATCAAGTCCCCTCAGGGTTATTTCATTTAGTTTTCACAAGGAGGAAAGAGGTGAAGGTACTTGCCCAAGGTCACACTACTACTAAGTGGGTTGGGTAAAACTTGAAAAGAGGTTCCGTTTATCACTCTGTGTTTCCCCTTTATGTACACTATTCCACTTTAACTGCCAGTGCTCTTGTGATTAACATTCTCTCTCCTGTGACCCAGTGGGATACTAATTGGAATGGCAGAAGTGAATCTTGTGATGTGCAAATGGAATGAGTGATGTGTGGTGATGAGTGGCTGAACTGTTGAGCATCCGAAGGGAAGCTGGGAGAGAGAGGGTAGTGGTATACTGTGGAGGACATCTGAGAGACTCAGCTCCATTTAGACTGCCATTTCTAATTACTTTTATCTCTTCAATGGTGGTTTTAAAGGTCCACTGAAGAGTAATTTGAAGAAACCCATTTAGAATCCTGCTGAATATTTAAAGTAGAAATTTCATTGTCAGCAAATTTCTCAGCCAGTATGAAAACAGAATGAGCTTTCCGAGGCTGAAATTTCACGTGGGAGGGAGCTTAATTAGAAGACCTGCCTAGAAGAGTGTGCCTGTGGCCTGAGAGGATTAGGGTATTGGGATTTGTAGTTGGCAGCAGGACAGTCTAAGCAGGCCCTGTTTTCCTCCATTTCCTGTGCAGCTTTATCCGGAAGCTTATTTTCTTTAAAAATATTTAAACTATATTTAAGAGAGAGAGAGAGAAGTGTGTGAGGTGTGTGTGTGTGTGTGTGTGTGTGTGTGTGTGTGTGTGTGTGTGTGTGTATACACACGTCATAACACATGTAGAAATCATAGAACAACTTGCAGGACTTGCGTCTCCCACCATCTGGGTTCCCAGGGATTGAACTCAGGTCGTCAGGCTTGGCAGGTACCTCTACCCACTGAGCCATCTCACTGGCCCCAGAAGCTCATTTCCTTTAGTAGTTTTCATGGACCGTTCTTTCCATTTCTTAAGGAGTGGTTCTCAGTGGAGTGGTGATGTCAGGTTTTGAAGGGACTTCAAGAAAACGAATGTGATTTTACCCTAAGCAGGACAGAGTGAGGCCGACTGCCTGTAAGGAGGAATTTATACATTTCAAAGTGAAGTCTAGCTACTTTTGGGTTATGACTGTTCTGAAATCTGTTGTAAAATCAGGGTCTAATGCAGTCTGATTATTCTTTTAGGATGCTCTGCAGTCTGAGCAAATGCTGTTCGTGGTGATTTATAAATCTCATTGTTCCCGATTCTTCTTTTTTAATCATTTCTTTTGGATATCATGTTAGAATTTTTTATTTTACTTATTTATTTCCTCATGTGTGTGAGTGCAGGTGTGTACATGTCATCAGGTGTCTGTTGGGACATTTTCAGGGTCTGGTGCTTTCTTCTTCCACCATGGCTTGGTTACCTTTGGCTTCAGACAGAGCTTCTCTCTCTTAGCGTGCTATCCAGTGTTCTCTGTGACCCGGACCCTGCTCCTCTGTCAGGTCACATGTGAGATAATTGATTGTGGAAGTAGATGGTTAGTCAGTCACAAACATGTTCACGCAACTCTTAATTCATAGACAGTGTAAAGATAAACCATTAGCTGGGTCTGATGGTGCAGGCCCACAATCCTAGGTACACTCGAGGCTAGGGCAGTAATGAGGACTATGAAGAAGCAAGTGTAAGGTTTAGAGATTACAAGTTCAAGGCCTGCCTGAGCTATTAAGTGAGTCCAAAGCCATCTAGGCAACTTAGTGAGACTCTCTCAAAATGAAAAATAAAAAGCAGGGTAGGGATGTAGGGCTGTAGTTTAGTGGTAGAGCACTTGCCCAGCATGCATGAAACATGAGAATCAATCTGCAGTACAGTGTAAAAATGGAAAACAGAATAACCTATCACAGTGTGGATTCTTGGAATGGTATCTGAGAATTTTTATTCAAAATAGTCAGTTTATCATTTTGGAGGGTTGTATTGGGGTGGTAGGATGAGGTGGAGGTGGTTGGGATGCCGTTCTACCAAGCCAGTTTACATTTCTCTCGAGCGCCCTCTTGAGGTGGGCTCTTTTCCTGCGTCCTCAGTGCTCCGTGTCCTACTCTCTCCCGGGTTGGTTCTTCCTGCATGATTCTTCCCTCTTCCTTAGTCACAATGCTTATGACTCTGCCTCCCACGGGAGTGTCAGACTGTGTGTACAGCTGCCTGGTGGATAGCTGTATATTTACATGTCCTAGATGGACACATCCAACTTAACCTGCCTCAGGCAGGAGCTGTTATCCCTCTCCTCATGCCTTTCAGCCTCCTGTGGCACTGTCTCCCTGAGGGGCACTGGTGTCCCCTATATTGCTGAGCCATAGTCCTGGTCATTGCTTTGACTCAGAGTTCTCAGCTTCTACTTCTTGAGGACCCTGCCTTCTCCCTATATGTCAGATCCACCTACTTTGCTCCCTGTCCCCTGCCACCATCCTGTTCTGGCAGTTTCTGCTGCTTTAGAATTGACCCTCTAGGATGCGTGCCCTGTGTTCAGTGACCTTAGGGGTAAGTCCTGTGTAGCTTTCAGGTGTGTCCAACCTTTATCTTGATCTTGTTATCTACAAAGTTTACAGTCAGGAAGCAGACAATGAGTTATGTGTGTGTGTGTGTGTGTATACATACCCACACACATACATGCTGTGGATGTCTTTCTGTATGCTGTGAATGTGTTGCTCTGATTAATTGATGAATAAAATGCTGATTGGCCAGTAGCCAGGCAGGAAGTATAGTATAGGCAGGATAAGCAGAGAGGAGAATTCTGGGAAGTGGAAGGCTGAGTCAGGAGACGCTGCCAGCCGCTGCTGCCATGAGAAGCAAGATGTAAAAGTACTGGTAAGCCACGAGCCATTTGGCAACTTATAGATTAATAGAAATAGGTTAATTTAAGATATAAGAACTAGATAGCAAGAAGTCTGCCACGGCCAGTTTATAAGTAATATAAGTCTCTCTGTGTTTATGGGATCTGAGTGGCTGCAGGAGCTGGGTGGACACAGGAAAACTCCAGCTACACATACATATATACATATGAATGTGTATATAAAGTAAATTTACATTATTGTGTTGGGTCTGATTGATATCTACTACTCTGGGGTGTCTGCAGCCTGTAGTTCATGGATCAGGCATGTCTGGAAGGTTATTGTTATCAGTATCTTATTTTCAACTTATCTTGGCAGTTCTTCAATATGAGCCTTGTTTTCTAGGTATTTCTATTCTTTGAGCTCAGGTTACTCTCTTTTAAGCCTGTTTTTTTTAGATTTTATTTTCTAGTTTAAATTATGCATCCATGTGTGATCTGTGTGTGGGTCTGTGCACAGGGATGCAGGCCTGTAGAGGGAGGTGGGTGCTTGGAGCCGGAGTTCAGGTGTATGTGAGCTGCCTTGTGTGGAGTCTGAGAACCAGTCAGGCCCTCTGCAAAGGCAGTGCCTGTTGTTAACTGCTGAGCCCTCTCTCCAGCTCCCTCCCAACCCTTAACTCTTAGGGTTGAATTCTTAATCAGCTGTTGGTTGAAATAGTGTTTCTCCCCAGACCCTTGAATGTCATGTCACTTTTGTTTTGCTGTAGGATTTTGTGCTGCTGTGTCACAGCATTCTGCCATACTTGAGTCTTTGGTAGGACTATCAATTGTATGGGGGCCAGGGCAGTCTGTATCTAAAGACCAGAGGAAGCCTAGTGCCTAACATGGAGCTTAGAATATGGTGCAAAGTCATTCCTTTTTTTTTCTTGATAATTTTTAAATTTTTGATTAAGATATAATGTATCATTTTCCCCTTTCCTTTTCTCCCTCCAACCCTTCCCTGTCCTTTCCCTCTTGACCTCTCTGATACCGTCCTCCATTACTCTCTAATTTGTGGCCTTTTTCTTGGATTGTTATTGTTTCTTCTCTCTCTCTCTCTCTCTCTCTCTCTCTCTCTCTCTCTCTCTCTCTCTCTCTCTCTCTCCAACCTATTGAGTTCTGTTTAGTGTTGCTTCTGTGTGTGTGATTTTAGGGCTGATTATTTTATATTGGATAGCCACTTGGGGGCTCATCCCTGGGGCAGACTAATTTTCCCCTCCTCAGTAGTCGTCAGTTGCCTGTAGTTCCTTGTCTGGGGTGGGACCCTTGAGATTTATGTCTTCCACTTTAGCATGTCTCTTAGTGTCGCCATTGTCTGAGTCTTGTTTAGGCAGCCATATTGTTACAGTATCCTGAGTGTGGCATCCCTCTCATTTCTAGGAGACACAGTGTCACAGCAGACTCTCTGGTCTTGTGGCTCTGTTCCTGAGTCTTAGGTGTAACTGTATCCCTTGGGGATAGGCACCCCACCATCAGTTGTTCTCTGTATTTTGGCAGTTGTGATTTTCTGTGATGCTTCCCACCTGCTGCAGAGAAAAGCTGCTTTGATGAGGGGCAAGGGCTACACCAACCAGGAGAGAGGGTTTGTGAACCCCGGTACTTATATGAATGAGTCAGGCAGTTCGTAGGATAGCACATTTACTCTTGGCGATTACTTTTTTGACACTCAGTTCTTAGAAGAGGCTCACATTCTGTTAGGTGGATGAATTTGTAGTAGAGCCTACATTCAGAACAGGTGAGCCTGCTCCCTAAGGAGGAGGGGACACTTCATAAGAAAACAGATTTGCAGGGCTAGTTTGTTGAACTGCTGCTTTATCCTAGTCTTGTGTGCTTTGTGCACCTGACAGAAGTGGATAGTAAATATTTTTACTTTAAGATAATAGCTATTCAGTTTTGTCCAGTATGTATTTTTTTCCTTGTACATAAAAATAAACTTTTTAAATTTTTTTAAAGATTTATTTAACTTAATCCTTATGACCGTTTTTGCCTGCATGTATGTATGTATACCACATATGTTTCTGGTGCTCACAGGTCAGAAGAAGATGTTTGTTGGATCTCCTGGGTTTACAGGTACTTGTGAGCCACGATGTGGGTGTTGGCAATCAAACCAAGGTCCTCTCCAAAAGCAATGAGTATTTTTAACCACTGAGCCAATTCTGTAGCACCCAATGTTTGTGTTTGCTAAGAACTTTGATTCTGGAGTAGGACTTGAATGGTTCCACATTTAACTGAATTTACTGAGGTTTTTCTTATATTTATTTATTAGTTTTTTTGAGACAGGGTCTGTCTATATAGCTTTCACTGTCCGATAACTCACTATGTAGATCAGGCCAAGCTTGAACTCACAAAGATCTGCCTGCCTCTGGCTCCCAAGTGCTGGCATGGTGTTCACTGCCGTGGCTGGATTTGTTTCATCTTTAAGTAAACTTTTTATTAATTTTTTTGTGTGGGTAGTTGTGTAGGGACGATTTGTATTTGTCACAGCATGCATGTGGAAGTCAGGACAACTGTGGGAGTCCGTTCTTTACTTCCACCATACTGGTTCTGCAGTCAGACTCAGGCAGTATGGCTTAGGGGCAGGCGTCCATACCTGCTGAGCCATCTGACCAGCCTCTTACTACTGTTTTAGTCTTGGCTAAGATATGTCACTTTTCTGGGCCTCAGTTTCCACCCAGGTAAATGAGAGCTTCAGTAGTAGTCTTCTCAGATGATAATGCTGGGCGGAGTGGAGGGAGTCTGCAGTCTTTCTGATTTTAAAAAGACTGCACTTTCTTCATTGAAAAAAATGAAGTGTGTGAGGTCATTAAACCATGAGTGCTTATGACAGCAATGGACTCCGTAAGTTTCTAGTCAACTGAAGTACACATGGGAACTTCAGAAAGGCTTAGACTTGCTGTTCTTCCCCAGGAATACCAGTTTTCAGCTTCAAAGGCAAGATCATGGGATTTCTGAATGTGTCTTCTAAAAAGAGCTAAAGGTGTATTTTAAATGTATTTTTCATTTTTCTAGTTAAAACTGAGAAAGTATAGAAAACTCCTAAAGGCTAGGGTATTCTGATTTCTACAAAGGTTGTTTTCATCTTTTTTCATAATTTTAAATCAAGGAACTGCTAAGATTAGCATAGCTAAATAAAGTAGCTAGCATTTTAGTAAAAAGTTTTCATGCTGAATAGTGTGTTTCAGTGTGTGTGTGTGTGTGTGTGTGTGTGTGTGTGTGTGTGTGTGTGAGAGAGAGAGAGAGAGAGAGAGAGAGAGAGAGAGAGAGAGAGAGAGGTAACACAAATATTAAAAGATCTTATTAATTAAAAAAACAAACCCAGAGCCAGATATTGGGGTAAATTCTGAAAGATCAGAGAGACAGAACAAGCCACAGCCAACCTCACCTTATCATCTTCTCAGCTGATCCTGTTTCCTCAGACTGAAAGCCTCTGAGTCATCATCCAAATGGATCTCAGCTGAACTGCTGCTAAAAGCCTGAAGCTTAAGAAGACTCTAGTTTCTGGTCCTCATGCCTTATATACCTTTTTGCTTCCTGCCATCACTTCCTGGGATTAAAGGTGTGAGTCACCATGCCTGGCTGTTTCCAGTGTGGCCTTGAACTCACCAAGATCCAGATGGATCTTTGCCTCCCAAGTGATAGAATAAAAGGTGTGTGCGCCACCATTTTCTGGCCTCTATGTCTATCTAGTGGCTGTTCTGTTCTCCCACCCCAGATAAGTTTATTAGGGTGCATAATATATTGGGAGACACAATATTGAGAGAGAGAGAGAGAGAGAGAGAGAGAGAGAGAGAGAGAGAGAGAGAGAGAGAGAATATGTGTGAGAGAGTGTGTAGTTGGAATTTTCTCCAGTCCCACTCGGGCCTGCAGCCACTCAGACTCAAGTAAACACACAGGGACTTATATTACTTATAAACTGTATGACCATGGCAGGCTTCTTGTTATCCAGTTCTTATATCTTAAATTAACCTATTTCTATTAATCTATAAGTGGCCATGTGGCTTGTGGCTTACCTGTACTTCACATCTTGCTTCTCATAGCGGCAGCGGTGGCTGGCAGCGTCTCCTGACTCAGCCTTCTACTCCCAGAATTCTCCTCTCTGCTTGTCCCACCTATACTATACTTCCTGCCTGGCTACTGGCCAATCAGCGTTTTCTTAATCAATCAATCAATCAATCAATCAGAGCAGCACATTTACAGCATACAGAAAGACATCTCCAGCAAGAGTGTGTGTGTGAGAGAGAGTGTGTGTGTGTGTGTGTGTGTGTGTGTGTGTCCGTCCATCCTCAGTCTCTTTGTGGCAATGCAGTGTCCTGAATCATCTGCTCATCTGTTTGCTTTTTTGCTGCTGGGTCTGGAAGATCTTTCCTTTATCCTAGCATTACTAGATCTGTGCTGCTCATACACCCAGCATTGGCTCTAGGCTGCAGTGCAGTCAGCGTTCAGATTCACTCAGCTTCACTGCAGTAGGAGGAGACCTCAGGGTAGGACAGTTCTTCCGTGTGCTTTCTGTGGAAAAGATCAGAAATGACCACTGTTCCTTTAGTCAGGTCGCCCTTTGCTGTATGGGATTAGTAACCATAAAGTCAGCACTACACTTGCTCTTCTCTCAGATTGTGTGTTGAGTTGATGTAATCTCTACTTCTGGGCAATTGTGATAAATTAAGATTATAAAAAAGAAGGAAAGAAAGCCAGTGTAACCTTATGTAACAAACCCATTGGTTTTTGAGCAGAGCTGACTTCTTTGAAGATGAGGCAATTGAGCAGATTTTGAAGTATAATCCCTGGTGGAATGATGCACATGCAGAGATGATGGCCTCTTTGGGAAAGAGCCAAGAGCATGGAGACAATGCTGCATTAGGTAAGAAACTCAAATCATGTTTTCATTGTGGTCATTTGTGATTTTTAAAACTCACATCGCGTGCCAAGCCACTGCCTTTCGTGTTGTATGGCATCTGATTTTACTTGCCTTTCTTTGTGAAAATGGGAGTTTTGGTAGCTAATTCCACCTGTGTGTTTGCCTTTCTTTGCTGGTAGATTTGAACTGTGAGGTATCATAGCCTATGCTGCTTGCACAGGTTCCAGGTCTTAGTCTGTGCTTGAAAATTCCACACTAAATCATTCAGCTTATGTTTGTTAGAAAATTCTTATGAAATAAATTTTACTTTAGACTCACTGGAGTCCTTTTAAGTTTTGAATTGATTTATTTTTGGAAAATTAGGGATACACATATGACACACATAACATTCATAGTTGAAGAATCTGCTTGAGAGATATGACTGTGTGCCTGTGCTGAGGATTCATGAGTATAAGTAAGGGAGACCCAGACTCATTCCCTCCCTCTAGTGAATGAATTAGATGTAGCCTCCTCTGTTTATTCTCAGGTAGTGGTATGAGGAAGCCAGAATAGCTGTCTTTCCATCATAGTTTCCAGAGCATGGTGAAAGCATTTGTACTGGAGAATGCTGAGGTGGGAATATGGCAAGCTACAAGAGGTGACTGTCCCATGTGAAGACAAGAATTACCAGAGTCCTTTCTTGGATGCATATGTTCTCATCATTGGTCCAGCACAAGCTGATTGTTCTAGGTCTGTATAGTAGAGTCCTAATGGTGTCAGTTAGATAAGAACAGGAGTCCCACGTTGTCTGATAGGCTGATTTGGCTTTTCTTTATATACTAAAACTAAATTTCAGCATTTAATGAAATGAGTACATACATAAGAATATATATTCTAAAGAATCATAAATGGAATATAAATTCTCCTTTTGTGGAATATTAGTTTAAGGCATGTTACATTTGTTTATGCTATGGAACATTTAATAATGCAAAGATGTGTTGCATTCTTTTATGTTGTATTTGTTTAACTCTGTGAAGTTGTGTTACTTTGCCTGTCTAAATCACCTGATTGTCTAATAAAGAGCTGGACAGCCAATATGAGGCAGGAGAGATAGGCAGGGCTGCCAGGCAGAGAGAATAAATAGGAGGAGAAATAGAAATCTAGGCTCGAGAAAAGGGAAGAGGAAGGAGCAAGAAAAAGAGGAGAGGAGGATGCCAGGGGCCAGTCACCCAGCCACCCAGCCATCCACAGAGTAAGAAGGAAGGAAAGATATATAGAATAAAGAAAGGTAAAAAGCCCAGAGGCAAAACATAGTTAAAGAGAAACAGGATAATTTAAGTTAGAAAAGCTGGCTAGAAGCACTTGGCCAAGCTCCTGGAGTTCAGTTGAACAGAGGGAGGAGGGATTATAGGAACAAGGGTGGTATAGATCATGATGGGAAAAACCATAGAGACAGCTGACCCAAGCTAGTGGGAGCTCACAGACTCTGGACTGACAACTGGGGAGCCTGCATGGGATCACACTATGCCCTCTGAATGAGGGTGACAGTCATGTGGCTTGATCTATTTGTAGGTCCCCTGGCAATAGGACCAGGACTCATCCTGGGTATATGAACTGGCTTTTTAAAGTCCATTCCCTATGGTGCCATGACTTACTCAGCCTTGATGCAGTGGGGTGGAGGTGCAGCAGTGACTTGGTCCTGCCCCAGCTTGGTAGGCCAGCCTGTGTTAAATACCCAAGGGAGGCCTTACCCCTTATGAGGAATGGATGGGGGTAGGAAGGGAGGGAAGTGGGGGGGATGGGAGAAGAGGAGGGAGGGGGAATAGTGGTTGGTATGTAAAATGAAAAGAAAATTTTAATTAAAAAGAAAGAAAGAAAATCTGGCTAGAAATAAGCCAAGCTAAGGCCAGGCATTCATAACTAAGAATAAGTCTCTGTGTATTTATTTGGGAGCTGGGTGGCGGGCCCCCAAAGAGTTAAAAAAAAATCCAACTACACTTTCCCTTCTCCCCAAGTTTCTCCTCATAAAAGCAATTACTGTAACAGTTTTGCATGTATTTCAAATTAATTTATTTTTGTGTTGACCATCAAACCTAGGGCCTTATATATGCTAAACACATACTTTACTGCCAAGCTGTATACCTTCCCCCAGCTGTATTCCTAGCCTGGGGTGTTTTTAAAGTACAGACGCCACATCTAAATATTTGTTTTAAGATGCTGTACACAGAAGGCGCTGTGGCTGTGATCTTGCTGTCTTTGTTTTGGGTTGTCCTGTAGGTTGAAAATCTTTCACATGAGCACACACAGACCATTCACCTGTTCTTGTACATGAAATCTCTGGCTGCTGTCTTGTGTTTTATTTCCCATGATTGGGGAACACTTTGCTGTATTGCTGGCAGTCATTTGGGGTTTAGTTACTGCTGTCACTGCTAGTGCAGGAGCTATTTTTACCTCAGTCTGACTGAAGTAGTTATGGTCTCTTCTGGATCAATAACTAAAAATTATCATCAAGCAGTCCAGTAGCTGCTAGTCACCTCTTTTTTTTTTTTTTTTAGCATGCGGTATAGTGATTATAATATAATAGGCATTAAGAATAGTTTATTAAGTATTTTTGTGGTGAAGCTTTGTTAGAGTGAAAAATTGCCATTGTAACTTTGGAAACTAGACTATTGGTTCTGAGTAGGGGTGTGTGTGCGCCATTGTTTTCAGCGTGTTCTGTGGTTGTATTTGATGTGTGTGCCCTTAAGACGCCTTCAGACTCCCTCCCCAGCTAACAGACTTGCAGATGTAGCATTGCTGACGCAATTTGGGTCATTAATGCTAAGCTAAGTGGTCTCAGGTAGTTTGCTCATACAGGTCAGCCTGTCTTCCTAGTGTCAGCAGTGTTGTGGTGAGGTGGTGTGAGAGGAAGCTTGTGGCTGTGTAGTTGAGTTTTCTCTCCACCAGAGTGAGCTAGTTGCCCTAAAAATCAGGAGAAGGCATTCTTTCCCTTTGATTTCAGCTCTAGTTCGCTCTCCTTTAATAATGGCAGTGTGTGCTGAGGCCAGTTCTTCATGTCAGCAGTGCTTTGAGTTAGGTCTTCTGTAACATTAGCAGATGGAGCCAGTGCTCTGTCCCTTTAACTGCTGGCTGCTGACCCTTTCTCTGACTCGTGGCTTGTAGCCAGGCTGGTGGTTCAGGCAGTCAGTCTGCTCAACCATTATGGTGATTCATTCAGAAAGTCACCTTTCAAAACAGCAAGGGTATACGCTCTAAGGTGGAAGAACTTGAGCTGTAGTGAGCAGAAAGGGCCTCCTTCATTCTGTCAGGTATAAGATTAAGTATAGGCGGGACATGGCTGAATATGAGGCTTGCGTTTCACTCCCCCAGTCGCTGCCAGCCGAGTGACCGTGCAGCCTTGGGTGGCTCTGGAAATCTTCTGCCTCCCTCCGAGCTGCCATCAGGATTGAATGAGGCTGTGTGTGCAAAAGCCTCAGTGCTTGTGAGTGTTCGAGATTATTGTTAGAGAGTCAGCCGAATGGCGGGAGAGCCAGGGATTGAGTGACTTCTGTCAAATTGCCATTTTGGTGCATTGTACAAATCTTTAATGGAAAGTTCCTGTTAATGAGATTTTTCTTTCACTTTATTCTGATTTAAATATTTGAGACACCCAGAACGGGAGGAATGAACTGGTGTGTTGAAGTAGGATAAAATACGGGAGAAAAGACATAAAGCAAGGAACTAGCTTTGCAGTTCCGTTTACCAGGATACATGTTGCTGCCATGGCTGTCACCTCCTCCACATTGTCTCTGCCCTTCTCTGCTGCCTTGTCTTCCTGCCTGTCACACAGTGAGATGTTGTCATTCAGCTAGGACAGTACAGATGATACGGGTGCACCTTGGAGTCCTTCTTCATTGTACTAGAGTGACCTGCTTTGTTTTGGGTTCTAGAGATGCTGGAGGTGGTAAACTTAGCTGTTGTCTTTGCTGGGGTGCTGACTCTGGTCATATTTATTGGAGTCCAGAGTTACAGAAGGGAGTCTGTGATTAACATCTTCAGCTTTATAAAGATCCAGATTTTCCTCCCCAAAGGCTTCTGAGTGGCAGTGTTAAATGCTGTGCTCCCTGGGAGCTCCGGTTTCACGAGGATGGACTCACCACATTTCCCAAGTTGTCTTTCAGTGGTTAACGTCAGCCCAGGAGTCTTGGCACATAATTGCTTGTTATGACACCACATAACATTTACAGTCCGTGAACTTCCTCGCAGGCCATCCTGTTTGGCACCAGCGAGCCCTTGAGTGTTTGTGGAGATAACTGGCAGTGTCAGCTTTGAAAATGCTGGACGACAGGGCTGCCCGTTTAGCTGAGGCCTGACTGGAGCGCAGGGTCCTGATCTGTCTCCAGTGCACGGACAGTGCAATGGACAGATACGTGTTACTCCGAGGAGCCAGATTCTGGATGACTGAATTGCTGATCCAGACAAGACAGGGGTGTTTGGGAGGGGGATTTCAAAAGGAAGAGAAGGTTTAAAGTAACAAACCAGAAGGAATTCGGGACAAAGAGCAAGTACCTCCCCAGCATCTTTCCCTCTTCCTGGGACTTCTTCGCAGATCTCAGAACTATCAGGGAGGCTGCTAACATTGGGAGGTGGACCTGGGCCATCTGCTTTAATGTTTTGGCTCCAGTGTCTGCTCCAGCCCCACTGAGCTGCCTTTTGTTTTACCAAGGATTATTTTTAGGAGTATAATTCTCTAAAATGTTGTGAACTCTGCAGATAAGTCACACAAATGCTTGACAGATGTTGCTTGAGGTAGTGACCACTCAGGTGTTGTTAGCCCTGCGTCTGTAGGTATTTCCTGTACTGCTGCTGGGTTAGACCTGATTGTGTGCTAGCTACCCCAAATTCCCCTTTGGGATGTGATTTACAGCCCTGATAAGTTGGGGTTTAGGAAGCTCAGACTTTTTGATTTCTATAATGATATCCTTATTTGTTGTATATCCTCTGATTCTTTTGATTGGATCAAATATAAAATACATTTGAGCTAA